ATATATATATATATTTGTGATGCAAATATATCCACATAAGTAAAATAAGCACCATTTCATATCGTTCAAACCAAAATCTCCGTGAATATACTAGATCATATTGTTCAAACGGATGTGTATCATGGAATAATTGAAAATCCATATAATCTGGCAGTTGCAAACCCGGATAATGGAAGACGATACTGCAACACGCTGATGCCGTTATAGCCAAACTTAATAGCCAAAACCAACGTAATCGAAGTACTAATCCAGTAAGAAAGGTGGTAAATCCTATTGTCACTTTATCTCCCAAAGATCTTAAAGGACGAATAATTCTTCTGGTAATAAAGTTGACAGGCGATAGAGTGGATAATTTGCAATGTTCTGACACAATCACACACGCAGGTAACCATGTAATCATCAAGAAAAAATTTGCAATGACTGTCATGCCTGCAAATAAACTATACAAAATTTATTATATATAGTATATATAGTAGTCAAGAGTCATCATTTAAGTATGGAATAGAAAAATGTTCATAAATTAGCTTTATAATAAAATTAGTACCTGAAGCAATTGATGGCAGTCACATTACTGACAATTGATGCAAAAAAAGCTACTGCTGTCGTAAGAGATGTAACAAACATAGCTGGAAAAGCATGTGTCATTGTTTCTTGCACCAACTGTATTAATCCGTCATTTGAAAGTTTTTGTTCTTTCTTAGATTCCCATACCTTACAGTAAATAAATGCGTCATCTGCTCCAATACCTGTAGAAAAATAAATACATTTATTATAACAAATGTATTTATAGCATTTTTAGGTTGATTTCACTTATGATTATTTTCATATAAAATACTAACCTACGGCTACAACAATGGCCAATAAATTCATAAATGGGAAAAATTTAATATGTAAAACAACAGTATAAATTGCATATGAAATGCCAAGGCTAAATACTACTGCGAAAAATGTTGCTATAGTCAATACTATAGAACCAGTATATGCCCAGATACAAAATGTAACAAAGATAAAACCGACGAGTACCAGACTCGAATCAGATAATATATCGTGATCAAATAATGTACTTTTTAGACCAAGTTGAATGCCTTGAACACGAAAATTTCCGTATATTAAATCATTATTATTTATTGCTTTATAAAAATCTAAAGTCGCAGAGCTTGCCGCAATTGGAAGAAATAGCATTGCAGAATGCAATGTCGAATTTTGTTTGCTGTTGGGATCCATCTTCTGTAACAATCCAATAAATATTTAATTCGATATTGAATATATTAATTTTATTATTTGTTAAAATAATATTAAAGTTATGATGGACTCTTACACTTGGAATAAAATTAACATCTAAAAGATAGTGTAGTAAATGATAAGCTGCATTTCTCATGTAGCATTCGTTTGGCACATGTTTTTGGCAATTAAAGTCTTCTGCACAGTTAGGCGTCAACTGACGATTATGATAATAATAAGCGCATTGTTGCAAAAGTGTTTTTACTCTGCTCAGATCATTTTCTGTTACTCCCAAACAAGAACTACGATTGGATAAAAGTGCCACATAGTTAGCTGGTGACCAACTTCTACAACATTTATGATCTGCCGCATCATTGCGATTGATTTGCGTCTGACACAAAGATGGAAAGTGAACATTTCCACGAAGTACACCATCAATGTGACATTGAGCTAATACACCTTCCATAGACCACAAATTCAAATTTTTTTCCTCTGAATCTACGGCGATCACAACACGAGCATACGAAGAAGTTGGTAAATTACAGAAAAAATTATCACTATCAAGATGATCTTGAGTCTTGTCCTCTATATCTGCATTATGCGTATCTCTCAATTCTAATAATTCTTCCCATGTATCTTTGTCTTCTTCATTTGCTTCTTTATCTGTATTATTTAATATTGTTTCATATTTCTTTACCTTTTGTTTATTTTTATTTTTTGGTTTTTTTCTAAGAATACCCTGAGTAGATAAACTACGATTTTGCATATTAGACTGAAAAATCAAGTCAAAAATTTAATGTTTTGCTAATTATTTAACATATAACTAATATTTCTAAGTATCTTATCTAAAATAATTAAAAAAAATGAGACTATAGGACTATAGTTAAAAAAAATTTTATTATTTATACCTGTTGAGTTAGTTGACGTATGTATTGATAATATTCTAAAGGATTATCAGTAAGTTCTCCTCTTCCTTTTGTAGCTTCTATTAAATGATTCCAAGCTGTCAGTCTTTGCGCTAAAACTGTACCTCTTGCCTCAAAACCCTACAGTATAAATATATATTTGAAATATATTGAAATTGTACAGAATTTTTCTTTTATTCTTACAAGAAGATGATCTTACATACCATTTGAGGATCCGTAAAATCTGGAAACTTTTCAGTTGTAAGCGGAATAATTAGACATACTAAAGAGAATATAAAAATGACCAGTAAAATAATATATGGATGATGAGCAATTATACGAGGATACCAGGATGCT